CATATAATAGTTAGAATGTATAATACAATAATACAATAGTTATATATATATATATATATATATATATATATGAACAATTTATGTATAAGCATCACATACATAATTGATTAATTCATCCAACACCAAAGTCAGAGTCTATTTACAATTATATTATATGATATTATATTATATAATGTTATATTATATTATATTATATTATATTATATTATATTATATCAAATTGTATCATATCATATCATATCATATCATATCATATCATATCATATCATATATCATATATTATTTTATTACATTACATTACATTACATTTTGTATTATATTATATTATATTATATTATATTATATTATATTATATTATATTATGTTAAAGGGATTTATTTCTATTGTATTATTTGACTTTTATTGTCCACTGGATGGCGCAATAGAGTAAAATGAAGCTTGGACACATGAGTGAGCCAATTGGCTTTAAGAAGCTTCATCTCTCCATCACAACCTTTGACCTCTCCCCCTAAAGCGTTCCCTTATCTCTGGATGTTCTGCTCAGATTAAAGTGAACGGGGAGGAGTTTTTCCTGTTCCCGCACCGCCTGCCTGTGGAGCAGGTCCGAGCCCTGCAGATCTCCGGAGACGTCCAGGTCCAGACCATCAACGTGATCGGGGTGAGCTAAACTGAGTTAAAACTGAGTGTAAAACGGAGTAAAACGAAAGTCAAACCACCTCTCTCCACAGGGGGGGCACCCAGGAGGAGTGGGAGTGAGTATCCAGCATCAAAACAGCTTCTTTCACACAACTTATGAGACATATTTCTAAATATTTCACATATTTACTGATTTTTTTTTTAGCCAGGAGGATATCCAGGAGGTGGCATGGGGGTAAATAAATCCTTCTTACATTCAAATATACATCATGTCATGTATCCGTACATAAATATATTGAATAATAGCTAAAAACAAACTTAATAAATCAGTTTTAAACTCTGTCATGGGTGGAATTGGAGGAGGAATGGGAGTGAGTATCCAACGCCGGTTTCCCTCCAGTCAAAGGTTGGAAATGAGTGTAAAAGAGAGTAAAACGTAAGTCAAACCACCTCTCTCCACAGGGGGGGCACCCAGGAGGAGTGGGAGTGAGTATCCAGCATCAAAACTGCTTATTTCACACAATTTATGATACATTTTTCTAAATATTTCCCATATTTACTGATTTTTTTTAGCCGGGAGGATATCCAGGAGGTGGCGTGGGGGTAAATAAATCTCTTTTAAATTCAAATCTATATCATGTCATGTATACTTACAGAATTATATAGAATAATAGCTAAAAAAAGTTATTAAATCAGTTTTAAACTCTGTCATGGGTGGAATTGGAGGGGGAATGGGAGTGAGAATCCAAAGCTGGTTTCCCTCCAGAAAAAGGTTAAAACTGAGTGTAAAACAGTGTAAAAGAGAGTAAAACGTAAGTCAAACCACCTCTCTCCACAGGGGGGGCAGCCAGGAGGAGTGGGAGTGAGTATCCAGCATCAAAACAGCTTATTTAGCACAATTTATGATACATTTTTCTAAATATTTCCCATATTTACTGATTTTTTTTAGCCAGGAGGATATCCAGGAGGTGGCATGGGGGTAAATAAATTCCTCTTACATTGTAATAAACATAATGTCATGTATCCTTGCAGAATTATATTGAATAATAGCTAAAAACAAAGTTATTAAGTCAGTTTTAAACTCTGTCATGGGTGGAATGGGAGGAGGAATGGGAGTGAGTATACAAAGCTGGTTTTCCTCCAGAAAAAAGGTTAAAACTGAGTGTAAAACAGAGTAAAACAGAGTGGAACGTAAGTCAAACCACCTCTCTCCACAGGGGGGGCCCCCAGGAGGAGTGGGAGTGAGTATCCAGCATCAAAACTGCTTATTTCACACAATTTATGATACATTTTTCTAAATATTTCCCATATTTACTGATTTTTTTTAGCCAGGAGTATATCCAGGAGGTGGCATGGGGGTAAATAAATCCCTCTTACATTAAAATCTAAATCATTTAATGTATCCTTACTTATAATATATGGAATAATAGCTAAAAAACAGAGTCATTAAATCAGTTTAAAATTACATTTCCCACATGATTTCTCAGCAGGGAGGCTATCCAGGAGGTGGCGTGGGGGTAAATAAATCCCTCTTACATTCAAATTAACATCATATCACGTATACTTACAGAATTTTAGCGAATAATAGGTAAAAACAAAGCAATTAAATCAGTTTTAAACTAAATTTCCCACACGGTTGCCCTGCAGGGAGGATATCCAGGAGGTTGCATAGGAGGAGGAATGGAAGTAAGTGGGACTTTAGTAGAAATTTGTTCAAAAGAGGGTTCAATTTGGACTAAATCTTAAACAAAGAACATCAGTTGAATTGAAATCTTTCTTCTTAAGCAGAAGTCATTTAAAGCTAGAATGTATTAGTCTGAATTGCTATGAATTGGATTTAATGCATTTAAAATTGCATTGACAATGGATATAAAGTTATATAGTTGCTCTGTTAGTAAACCAGTTATGACACACAACCTCTGTGGTCTGTTTGTGATTGGTCAATAATCCAGGCTGTCTTGGAAAACTAATTTCTGGAAGGCATAAGTGTTTTATTCAAAGAGGTTCAAAAGGGGCTGCAGCTTCTCATGTTTCTAGTTTAGTATTTAGTGTTAAATATATGTATGTGAGGCATTAAAAACACGTTTTCCTCTTTAGCAGGAAGGATATCCAGGAGGTGGCATGGGGGTAAATGAACACTTATCTATATTCATATAACTAAGAGTACTTAGTGGGTGGTAAATCTCCAACTAAGTGGAACTAAATCCTTATTAAAAATTCTTTTTTTTTTGCAGGGTGGATATCCAGGAGGCTCAGGATGTGGCCCAGGGGTATGAGACAATAACATAGTAATATTTCATTTCCCTTTCAAAACAACTGGGCATTTGTTAGTGTGATTAAAAATGAAAGCACGTAATCCTTTGTCTCTCACAACAGCCCGGATTCCCAGGATCACATCTGCCGGTGGGTTTGCTTTTCTATACGTCGTCCTGGGCAGTCTGTTTCACCAAACACTCATCTTCTGGTCTGGTTTCAGGGTATGGGCGGGCAGCCAGTCTACAACCCGGTGAGCC